TTCCTTAAGTTTCATGCTTTTGCTCATTGGCATCTGGAACCCTGTAATAAGCCACCATAATGTCCCCATCCTGGGCTAAATTTCACTTTGTATATTGCCAACTTCGTGCAATATAATCCCAAGGTAGTATCATTTGCGTCAAGGAGATGGCAGCACATTATAAATGAGATATTATTCAGTTTTACCCTATCAAATGTTTTTTAGAAATATTAGATTTCAACTTCAATATTTTAAGAGNTTTTTCCCTATGCAATCTTGGGACCTCTTAATAATTTATGTTTAGAAAGATTTGGCTCTTGCCAATTACAAACTATACTGTAGTTAGGTAGGCCAAGAGAGGAAGAAAAAAGCTTTTTTTTCTTAATTTGGAAATAATGCAGATGTTAGGAGAACGTGCCAGATTATCACATGTGTTGAATTAACAAATATCAGGCTAACAAGTCACCATTGTATCCTGAGACAAGCTATGCTGTTGGCTCCAGCCAAAATGTTAGTGGTTTTATATTGTGCTTAGGATACAGTGTATGGCTATCAGGGATGAAATATTGTTGTAGCTTGTCAAAGAGAGTCTCTTTTGTCAGGCAACGCAAGCTATATTTTAATCGACATGTACAATATACACCCACCTCTTAATAACTATTCTCTCTGAGGATCAGTACAGATGTCCCCATCCCCAACAATGTTTAGCAAGTCCTTTCCAATGGCTCAGTAGGTAAAGCCATTGCCTAAACTCTAACACATATAGACTTAGGACAATCCCAAGTTATATAATTTTGCCCACAAAATATACACTTTACAGTGTATTCTGTGAAGCGCTTTCAGACATATCAGTGATGTGATAAAGAACTATGTCAACTGCAAAGATTATATATCCTCATTCTATTTGATGATGTCACTCGGGGTGATAGTAGGAGTATTAGAATTGGTCACCTCACCCCAGAGTTAAAAGGGAAGAGTCTCCTCGAGGAATCTCGGCTGTTAAAGTTCGGGTTGGTGTGTGGACATTGGGAAGGATAAGAATTGAATTGAATCTACTGGCCTCCATGGTTGACTGTTCTATAACACTCACTGTGGGGGTAACACCTGACTAATAGCCACCTGGGTGAGATACCTGAGGGTGGAACCAGGCAACATCAAAATTACGTTGGGAGGACTTCCTAAGGTGCTGGACAATCAGTGTTTCAGACCCGAGCTGGGGATTGGGATCAGGGAGGGTGGAGGCCAGGGGGGGAAGGAGGGTGATCGAAAGCAGGTTCTGTTTCTTTGTATAGCGCAATCTGTCGCAATTTTTAAAATATTTAATTAAAGCCTAGTTAAAGGTAATGTGTTGCAAGAAATAATTCACGATTAGTTGGACAAAAAAAGCCCCTTTAATTTGACTGAGTGCCTGACTCCCACATCCCTAGAAATGGCCTGTGCTGTTTTCTCACTGGCATTCTTTTTCCAGAACACATTTGACGTTCTAAGGAATTATATTAATCTGTGGCCCAGTGCAAACTCCAGCGGTAGCAGTTCGAAAGCTCCTCCGTGCAATCCTGTGCACTGTGCAATGCCCACAGGCTACCCATTCTGTGGCGTTTTTTAAACCAGTTATTTTAATTGCCTACATGAAATGTCAATCATTCTGCCACTCACAGCAGCAGAGCCAGGAAAACAAATTCCTCTCTGAGTCAAATCAGACAATCTTTTGATTAACAACTGAAGCTCTGTTGACACATTATGGATTCATTATGTGAAATTATAGAATAGGTTCAATAAGGAGAAGGCTTTTGGTTGAGGAAGATGATTGGAAAGTGGGTAAACAGTGGGAGTTGAAAAATAAGGTTTTCTTACAAAATTCAAATGAGTCTGTTTGCCTTCAAACGACAGGAGCCTAAATGTTGGGATTGGGAGGTGCTGTTTATCTGAAGTGTCATTGATACTTACCACTTGCTGTCAATTAGAATCCAGATTGTTTTTGCCTTCCTCCAATTTACTCCCCGTTTTCTTGTAGATGACAATTCTCACTGGTGTACGGTTCCACAGTGACGCATTTGCCAGGAGCTCATTGGCTTTGTTGAGTTAATCTTGCTTTCTTTGCTTTGCTGACCCACTTGTGCAGTTAGTCCCCAGTTTTCGGGGGAGCCCAGCTCCAACATTCATTGGTGCTACCCTAACTCCCAAATGGTGAAAACACGGCACTCAAAATATCTCAAATAATTTCAAATCAGTGCTAAATTTTAAATTCAGTGTGAATTTAAGAGCCTGTGCTTGATAGGAAGTTTACCTAACCCTTGTTACTAAGTTGTAATGCAGTTGAATGTGAAGCAACCAAACCTGATGATTTAAGAAGGTTGAGTAAATCCAGCAGCAATAAGGAAGCTGTATCTCATTGCTTAAATGTGTCCTATAGAACATACAAAGTAGTCTTGCCAAAACAATGCACAAGTAATACCAAGTGCAGATTTACAAACAAACTAACTTTTTTCGCCTCTACCATAACTAACCACTACACTTAAGATTAAAGAAATCAAAATAAGATTAAAAGGCCACTTTGCCATCAACTATTGCTTTTTAAGTTCAATGATTTACATGTCACATCGACATGTTTGTATTCAAATTGCAGCTCCCCCACCCTTCCGCATCGAACAAAGCCTTAATCATTAAGCTGATTTGAGTGGGTTTATGACCACTTATTGCACTTGAATAGAGTGTTCTGATAAGTAGGCATTTTCAGCATTAGCAAGTGAAGCTCCGTCACTCAGGAGCTTGGAGGTTGAGTGCCGTACTATGGTTGACTGACAACAGTTTGGGATTCCACTGGATGACAAGTTAAAGGGTTTAGTGGTGCAATTATGTACTAAATTCAAGGTGTTCAGATGTAAATGTCCTTGTACGACTCTTGTCATCGCAGTGTTATTAGAGTGTTTCATACATCTGCTTAACACTGTAACAGAGGAGCACTTTTTCAGGTTGTTGGGGGGGTGGTGGGGAGGAGACATGCAGAACTCCATAATGACACAAAGAATGATAAAAATGTAATGTTCCTGTCATGTCTCCGAAGATTATAAAATGTTTTTCATATAAAAAGAGAAAATCACTTATTATGTGACGAGTGGAATACTTTAATAAGGTCTAATTGAAAATGTTTCTTTCCATCTTTTAAGCAAAGCTCCAGAAGGGATAGCCGGAAAAAATTGCTGCCTCTTAACAGTCTGTGTTCTTTATTGTACATTGCAACTCTCGGTTTGGGGAGAGAATGCTGCGATAGTACAAGTTTCCATATAAGTTCAGTAAAAGTTGAAAATGCTAAAGTCCAGAATACAGCATTGGACCTTATTTAGCCTTCTTATTACATTTTAAAATTGTTCAAAACTTTGAAAGTTCTTAAATTCAGTATTAATTTGGCTTTAAAAATGACTGTAGAAAACTTGTCTTCCATATTAAGACTGAATGGAAGAATTTTTTGAAATTTCTGCACAACTTTCAATAACAATTTATATAGTGCGCTGAATGTAGGATAACGTCTCAGAGCTTTTCACAGTGACAGGGTTGGACACTGATTAAGAGCTATCATGGTAGTGAGGCTAAGAACATAAGAAAAGGCCTCTGAATACATGACTGTATTTTACCAGGTACAACTTTCTCTCTCTGTTACTTGTTCTCCTCTCCTATTCTGAAAATATTTGACTATGTTTTCCTTCTCTGGGATATGGTTGACTAATAAAATAAATATTAATGCTTGCCTTTAATATAGTGCCTTATTACACTGTCAATAAAATCTCAAAGTATTTCACAAGATTTACTGTAGTGACTATATTTTGTAGGCAAGGCACAACAGGCAATGCAGTGCCCTCACAAAAGTCCATTGTGGGCAGTGAATGTTAACAAACATCTTAGCTAATCCTCATCTCAGTCATATATGAATGTGAGAATACTGGATAGTGACCAGGAAAGACAGTCCCAATCGATTGCCCTCTCCCTAACCTGGTCCTAAGGCTAACAGTATTGTCACTGTTTGACTTTAACATGGAAAAAAATACATTCCAAAGGTTCTCCTTTACCACATATGAGCAAATGTGGTGAAATACAGAACAGATTGGCCAAGGTTTAAGTTCAGATAATGTTGAGTTTGGCAATGTTAGCTTGGGAGTGGGAATGCTTGGTTTCCCCTTACAATAGAAGGGGAAAATCAGCCTTAGTTTGCACTTCCGAATGTTATCCAGTGATCTCTGCTAGAAATATCATCGGTTGTGATGGTCAAACACTGTGTCATTGCCAGGCTCACACAGGGATTACTGGAGGGTGTACAATAGCTCACCCTCCCATGCAGCCCTATCCCGCATCGGGGGGGGGGGGGGGGGGGGGTGGGGGGAGAACTGAGATTCAGGAAAGAAACAAAAGGTTAGTTATCCCTTCTCGTTGTCAGTTTGCAGATGAAATCACTGTTAACTAAGACATGCAGTTTTTTACAAAATGAATAGTCACCTCTTTCCCTTATTCCCTCTTTTGGATTCTATATACAAAGATCATTTTTAAAAGAACTGTGTTAATAATAATCCTTGCATTTGATGTAGTGCCTTATCACTCCTTTGAGACGTCTCAAAGCGCTTCGCAGAATATATTGTAAAGTGAATTGACTGTATATTTTGTGGGTGAACCGCAGCAACCAATTGTGCACAGCAGTGTCCCACAAACAATGGTGGATTGAGTGACCAAATTTTTTTTAAGGAAATATTATCCCTGGAATCGAACCCGGTTCTGCTCGCATGTGAGGCGAGTGCTCTAACCACTAAGCTACAGGACATTTTATATGATTTCTCTATTTTACTGTTAGGTCCTATAGGGAATGAAGATTTTATCTGAAAAAACGTGTATTAGAATGTACGATGCAAGACATTTCTTTGTGCTGGAAAACTATGGCTATTGCATTCCTTTTTTCTCTTTGGTGTTGCTGATAATGTGGAATTATCTCTCCTGCACATTCCTCTCACTGAGCCATACTCTTCTTCTTGTTGCAGCTTTGAATGAACCTACCATTGATTATGGCTTCCAGCGGCTGCAGAAGGTCATCCCCAGACATCCTGGTGACCCGGAACGATTGCCAAAGGTCAGTCACTGACTTTTACATATAATATTGTTATAAGGTTGAATTAATGCATCATTTTGAGCATAACAACATGAGATCAAATGGGCTGAAGGGCTTTCTTCATTCGAACCTTTCTTGGGATCTTGGAGAAAATGCAGAATAAAACTATTGCCATTTCCTTGTCTCTTGGATAATGCTATCACTGGTTTGTAAAGTCAGCATAGTGCAAATATCCTACAAAAGCCCCACTTCAAGATAAATAGAATTACATAGAATGATATGGCACAGAAACAGGCCATTCAACCCAACCAGTCCATACTAGTCTTTATTCTCCACACATGTCTCCACCCCTCCTATTCCCCTCTACTATACCCCTCTGTTCCCTTCTGCCTCATGTATGCATCAAGTTTCCTTAAATACATTGATATTTTTACATTATTATTACATCAACCACAGATTCCAGCAATGAGTTTCACACTCTCAAAACCTTCTGCTTGAAGATGTTCCTCCTAAACTCCCTATTAGATCTATCACTGGCTATCTTTTATTTATGCCACTTGTTTTGGGCTCACCAACAAGTGAGTGTATGAACATCCATTTTATTGATTGAATCCTTTCATAATCTTAAATACCCCTGAGAACTAGTGCAGACTCGATGGGCTGAATAGCCTTCTGCTATGCTGTAAATGTCTATAATTCTGTGTTCTACCTCTATCGGGGGTCCCCTTTCAATGATCTTAACTTTGGAGAGAGAAAAGAATACACTCATCCCAGGTAACATCAAGAAACCAACTATAACTTGCTTCATTGTAACACAGGTTCCCTTATCGTGTGTTTGAGATGTGGACCTTGATATTTACTCACCCAAAAATTCAAAATGCATACTGAAATACCGGCTTGTTTTCCTGCGCTAAAAATAGCTGACTTCTTGATCATCAGGTAGTAACCGGACATCATTGCAGTGAATGTGGAAGAGTGACCAGTGATCACATGCCATTTAATACTGGTTGGGTGAATAACAACCGAAACAAGTTGTCAGGAAGGGTGGTTGATTGCAGGATACTGAGACTCATTTAGGAAATGGCTTGATGGTGTGATGGGAGGTCAGTGTGATGGGTGTTGTGGAAGGATCAGATTAGATGGGTGGAAGGGCCTTTTTAATCTGAACTAATCTTGTGATTTTGTGGTTGAAACTTTAAGGACCCCAATTATTGTAACAGAGCTTTACTATATATCAACAACTTGCATTTATATAGCGTCCTTCACGCCTGATGGCGTCTCGGAGCGCCATATTTAATGGTGGTTTTTCACATCACAAAAAGAAAGTATTTTGTACATCAAAACGTCTCAAAACACGTCAGAATATTGGTCCAAGTATAGTAACTGAGTTTTGTAGATAAACATGGCTGCCAGTGTAACAGGGCATTCTGATAGATGAGTGAGTAATTGCACTGATTGGTCATAGAATCTTTTAATGTTTTCCCCGGGAGGCACCAGAAACCCCCCAGCAACGAATGGTTCCCTCTGGCCATTGTAGCACCAAAGATCACAAGAGAAGTTTGACTGAAGGCCCTTTACCCATTTGATCTCAGCCTTTCAGAATACCCTGCTGTCTTCCATTACAGCATCAGACTTTCTTAAATTAGTCTAGCCTGGCTTATACCCCGTTCCTAGTGAGCCTTTAAAAGCCAGTTCAAATCCGCATTGCCAGAGGCCTGAGAGAAGGTTGGTTGCCTCATCTCTTTTGCCCAAAGGCACCAGGAGGAATGTAAACAAAGGACACAGTTCCATTGAGTCTCGGAGGGGCTGTAATGGAAAAAGGGGCTGTAATGGAATTGCATATAAAATGTTATTTAAAAAGAAAAACAAACTAATCTAATGCCAGCGAGTGAGCTGGAAGATGTGATCTTTCAAGCACACTGTTGGAGTCTGTTGTCGATCTTCCCAATATGGTCCCTGGCATCCCATGATAAATATACATTTAGGATTAATTATGGTTTAAATATAAGTTAGGAGTATTCATTTGATAGAAGTGAATATAATGAATATTTGGAGAAAAGGGAGGACATTCTGTCTGGCTGACACACATTTACTTAAATCTGACATCAAATACTGGGTATGAAGGGAGTGAGGAGGCACAGGGGAGAACACCCTAACTTCTGATCCAAATGCGTTTCCCTTTTAATGGCATTGGCAGCCAAGGTGTGGAGTGGGCCCATTGCTGAATTTCATCAGAGGAAATGAAGGTGGATCTTACCCAGTGTCAAAGGCGCATCAATTTGATGTGTACATGGCCAGGGGTTGTACCGAATGACTGTTGCTCAGTGCAGATAGATTGTGCCCGTGTCAGGCCTGTCTCCCGAGCTCCTTTGATAAAAGACCAAACTCAGCGGAGAGAAAGAAGAACAGCGTTTGTGTGTTTTGCTTCTTGAAGCTGAAAAATACAGGGCAAATTGATCCTATGGGAGTAATAAATACACATTACTTTATCTTGTACTTCATGTCTGTGGCTCTCATATACCCCTGAGTCCTGATAGAACAACAATAGTTAATAGACTAAAAAGAGTAATTACAACCATCTTTTCAACCCTTACAGCCTGACTGACTTTGTGTGACCTTATAATTTTACCTCTGCTAATCTAGCTCCTACATTTTTGATTCAATTTGCATAGCATGTGTAGTGGGTAGTGATACATGACCTTTCCTTAATGTCACCTGTCAAAGAATTTTACACTAAGGTTGTAAAACAAAAATTTAAAATTCAAACGATATGCTCAGTTGAAGGTTTTCACTATCTGGTGTGAAATTGAGACGTTCAGAAGAGTAAACTTCCCAGGTTTGATCCGCAGTCTATCTTGAATTAGTGGATTTCACCCCAGAGGCAGCAGTAAAATAATAAAAATCCTTACATTTGGTATAGTCACTTTCATTTTGGGAGAACATCTCAAAACGCTTCACAGCGTTTAATGTATAGTGGAGTGACTGTGTATTTTGTGGGCAAAAGGAGGAGAGCAACTCAATTGGCCTCAGGGATCCTGGGCTAGGAGAGGGAGAAATCAGATAGGGTTCGCTCTCCAGAGCCTTGAAATTATTCTAGCTTCAAACTAAAAATTTAAGATTGTGACAAATTTTGGATAATTCTAAAATTTGGTCATAATTTTCAAGCCACTTTCTGTTAGTGTTTTAAAACACAGCTTCCAAATTAAGACTGAAATCAAGTATTTTCCATGCTTAATTGCTCTTATGTTCAAGACTGCAGAGTGTTTTGGACCTCTCATCTTTGTGCATTAGTTTCCACCCCTGGACACAGATTCTACTGTGGTTTCCACCCCCCACTTTGCACACAATAAATCCAAGCACCCCCTACTATTCAGTTCCAACGGTTCATTGGCAGGACATGAGGTGCAGGCAAGTCCCTTGAAGCAGGGATTCATCCCACTTGGCTCCTGTTAACCCTGCAGGCCAAAGCTCTAATGGGTCTCAGTTGGACAAGCAGCAGGAAACTTGCCAGACAGAGTTCTTAATGGCAAGCTATGCAGTTTTAGCTGGTTGATCTCCAGCAGTATTCCATTGCATAATCTGGGTTGCCCAAGCCTTGGCTAATATCACTAACTTGCGCTTAGTACCCTCCAGATTTAAACAAGCAGGGTGCATTCCTCCAGGGATAGAGTGTGCAACTCATTCTGGGCATGGGGAAATTTCCATGTATTGAACTCTCAGTCTGTTTTGGATACTTGGTGATGGGTTTCCTCATGTCAGACTGACCAAAAACAAAGAAGACATTTGGGTGATCAGTACCTTTGGAACCATTCCCCAGTGTAAGTCAGCCCCCTTCAGGGATAGGATGGAAGAGAATTGGAGATCAGGCAAGAAATCCAGTTGTAGAAGTTATCAAATATAGATAGATGATGGTTGATATTAGACCGCGATTGTTGATTTACACAGCGTTTAGAGCACTTGCACAAATAAACAGGACAAGCAATTTATTTACTTTAATAAACCAAATTGTTAAAATAAAAGGTACTATATATCCATATTGCAGGATGAAGACAGAGTGCTGATATTGTCCTGTACATTACTTTGAAATTCAGGGGTTGGACATTTCAGACACCCTCAGCATGTCATATTGCAGTCTAGTTCCAAAATAGATAATACTTAGTTATTCTACAGTGCTAGATAGTCTTACTACCCAATGCTCTTTTGTACATCGTTATTGTTCTGTGTGTGCAAGTTGTGGTATTCCTTAATACCTGACAGACGAATGAATCACAGTGTCACCTCTCGCCTTAACATGCGATGTGATAAGTGAGCCCCAACCACCTCTGTGATGAAATCCTCTTGTTTTAACCTGTCATCTCAAACTCCAAACACTACATATTCAAAGATATCTGCCCCTTCAAAAATACCCAACTCTATGTAAAACCCAAGTTTATCCAAGACTCCCATATTGAAAAAGGCTCTTCTAGGACCTCATTTGCTTTCAACAATAGGACAAAGAAAGAAGGCTGATAGGTAATCCTTATATCACTTCCAGGCTTAAACATCTCTCTTTTTCGATATGAACCTTTATTGTGTTCCCCCTCTGCGTTCACCTACAAATAGTTACTATGCTTACTGTGAATTGTAATGGGACGTTTTGACAAGATAAGATTCTATCAAATGCAGGATTATTATTTTTTTATTATTATCAATATTGCTCTCTACAATTTTTCTCGTTTGTTCCTGCCAAATTCCCCGAAAAACACACCCTACATGCTTGGCTGCCTCACTCTGTTGAAATCCAAATTACTATCAGTAAAAGAGACTTCATCAAAAACAAACTTTAAAAAAAAACAGGATATCAATTTCAGAGCTCCTGTCAAAATTCATAGTTGGAAACAATTGATTCTTGGATATTTCCATTGGATTGTTCAGGGGTTTTGTTTAACTCCTGAGAAATGATGAGCAATGAGAGTACAGAGAGCAGGGAGTTACCAAGCTCTACTATGCAGGGTAGTTTGAATTAACGGCAGGGATAATCA